TAACCAACAAACTACATCTCTGAGCGAAACGTATACACGCACTATTCCGTCGAACGGGTTTCAACGAAGTGTGATGCTAATGGAAAAAATGCAAATTTAAACTGAGTATATCAGATATTTTACGCATTATCTGAAAACGTACTTCGTGCTTTACTTTTATTAGATTATAAATAAAATCAAAAATAATAGTAATAAATGTTCGTACCATTACTTAGACGAGCTTTGCGTATAGTTCCTTTATTGTATAGTTACTTCCCATGGAGCAATCCAAATATAAACATTTTAAATATGAGTAACTAATTTCGATTTGATTGGTTTTTCTCTCTCGTAACACATTGCTTTAGACAACCGGAGTATATAGATTAATAAATATAATAAATTATGTATAAATATGATTGTAGATATAAAAAGATACACAGTGTTTTAAAATAAGTTTTAAATTCACAGACGAAAAAACATGACTTCAAGTTAATTTTGTAACGTTAAATGAAACTTATTTCATTAAAACTATTAAAGTACTTTACTGAAGGTTTAAAAAGATTATTAATATATTCTAGCAATTAAGTTGAACTATTTGTGATAATATATCCAAACATTTAATTTAATAACGTAAAATAAATTAGATTTTGTTGATTGTAGATTATTAATTTATGATTTCTTGTCCACTCATTATATGCGACTAACCATGAACATTAAATATCAGTCAAGCTAATGCGTGACAGATGAATGAATTCTTAAACTAAGATTTTTTGGCTCTTGCTCGTATCTCGTTTTTCATTAAAACACATAAGGTTTTTCTTGCTGACCACTTTAGGATATATCAAATATTTTTTTTTTATTAATACATTTCATATTGTTGTAATTATTTTGTTGGAAAACTATTTTTTTAATCTCAGAAAGTTATTTTAATTATAATAATACAACTTTAAACCATGAAATATATTAAAAAAGCGCACAGAGAAATCTATAAAAAGTATTAAAATAGAAAAAAATCCATAACCTAATATTTAATTGAAATATGTAGTAATTTTATTTATAATATAAAAAATTTAAAGAGTTAATTTCAAGATTAAACTTTTAGCGGATAATTACTTGTCTTTTTTGTATTCTATTACAAAAAAAAAAAAAATTATTTAGTATAGTAACTTACTCAATTTAACTCGAAAATTTTTTTTAATTGTATAGAATATATAAAGTTAGTTTTAATATTTTCCTCTCTACGACATGTATAGTTATTTAGATATTTTTTTACCATAGGCCGAAAAACAAAATTGAAACACAAAGATATAGTTTCAGGTGTCTTTCTTGTCCATTCATTTTTATTATAAATATATCTTACTACAGAAATATGGGTGCAACATTTAAGTCCTATCGCCAAAATCGACTTTATATTGGCCATAAACTATAGTTAGAACTTCAAACATTTATATACGCAATGCTCAAGTCTGAAAAATATTTTATTGCCGATAGAAAATGTATTCGAATCGATAAACTCATCGTCGCCATACATTTTTGATTTATGGAGCTTAAAATTATATTTATGATAAAACGTCTAAATTTTTTACAGGATTATTGAAGAAATGGCAGTTGGTATTTTACGGGACGTCCGAGCCACCAGTGAGGTTAAAAGCCAGAAAGAAATACTTCAACCAGATCCAGGCAAAGGCGAAATTAAAACCGAACGAAAAAGAGGTATAGCGTTTGGTTAGCAGAGCCACTGGTACTTAGATTATTGTCATCATTCCGTATTTAATATCATTGTTTCGATTATAATGTACCTTGTAGGGGCTAAAAAAAACCAAGCATCCGTCTATCCGCCCAGTGAAAAATGTCAAAAATGAAATAGCAACAATAAACGTTAGCACTGGATCAACCACTACGTTTAGTCCAATTATTAAACAACTGTGTTTAAACAATTCGAAGTATTGTGAAACCTGTACGACCACCGACAACGTTACACTGTGAGTACAGTTTATCATAATAAACAGTTGTTCAACAGTTTGTATCGAATTTTGAATATTTTTTATACTATAAAGTTTAAACGACGTTTATAGAACGAGGTGCAGTTTAATTTTGCTTGTGTACTTAATCTTGAATAATTGTAATATAGTTATGATACTTTTATTATTTATTCAATAGCGATTGGAGTAAAAAACAAAAAAAAAAAATAGTTTTTGTTGACCAAAGAAAAATGATTAGATAGATGTTTTGTAATTAATTATATTTGGTTTATTTTCGTTTATTATCATTATTATTATTTTTTTTTTTTACAAATAATTTTGTAATTATTAAACATAAATCGACTACCGAATATTTGTTAATTTAATATAATTAAATTATAGTTAATTAAATTTTTTGGAAGCTTATATGTTATTAGTAACTAAGAACAACACGTTATCGTACAATGAATATTACTTCTCCTTGCTTCAATTATGTAGACTAGTGTGCCATTATAATTTTATTGTTGGAACACTGTTATGAACCTAATTGTAATAGTTATATTACCTCACCTTTGTTTAAGATAAGATAAAATGGTATCCGAATCACGATGATGATACGTTGGTACATGTAAATGATTTTAAGACTCGTGTATTTTACTCGGCATTCATACTGCATAACGTGTTGTCATCTGTGACTAAACGTTAACTATGAATAGAATAAAACATCGCGATCGATGATGAATTTTACACACAGTATATATTTACTGGATTTTGTTCTTTTAAATTATATGGATTTTGCATGTACGTTATTATAACAACAATTATAGTATTTTATGTTTAGGGTATTTCTATTTTAAAATAATAATAATAATAATAAAAAAAAAAAAGAACATTAATATCATTAATCTCTTTTGTTTGCCAATTTATATTTGAAGTTTTAGAATAATATGGCTTAGGAATATAAAACGTTGTATTTTAAAGTGTCAATAAATTTGCATATTTAATATCGTAAGTTAATACGGATATTTATGTAACATTGCAGATGCAATCAGTTCAATGAAACCAGTGCCATACATTGTAAGTATAATACTACATTTAATCAAAACAATTTTTGCACTGGCGTATAAATAAAATTACAATAAATCGTATGTTGATATAAAGTATATTAGCGTGGAAAATACAAATCAGTACAATCTGTTCATCGTATCTGTGCTAGGTATTTAGGTATAATTTGATTAATTAATTTTCAAAGGGGATTTTTTCCCGAATATTAAAATTATTCCGATGACAAACTAGTTGTAATTAATATTTAGTTGGATTAAAGCAACAAAAGGGAGTCTTAAAAAGTATCCAAGGAAGGTATTATTGCACTCTGTCCTTAGTGCAGTTCAAACTTGTAATTGTTTTACTAATTCTGTTTGTCCTTTTTAGTCTGATACGTATTCTTGTTATGTATATATATATTGTTTAATAAACAAAAGTGGGGATAAAACCTATTAAAATTATGGAATGATAACGCTACGGTAATTTGTTCAGACCATATGGTTAATACATTATGTATGGTTTCGTGTTGATTGTGTAACGAACGCCACGAGTCAACGGGTAATTGAGCGCATTACGAGCAGTACCTTCCGATTACTATAAACAATGTTTTACGGGTTAGATAAAAGTCCATAATGTCTAGTCGCTTCTGCGAAGTTTAAATATTAATTAATATCACATTTTAGCGAGATATTGTACTCGTGTCGGATTGCATGGGACGCAAATAAGGAACACATACGAGTCATAAAAATAATATCAATCCCAGCCTTCCGCTTTGATAAACTATTGTCCGCAGGTAATTGCTCGAATTCGAACAACGAGAAGAGAAGAGCCGACGAGGACGAGGACGGTGACGGCGTGATCTACACGGTGTTCTACAGTTCTTTGAAATCCGACCGGAACCATGTGACCAAACCCGGGATAGGACCGGAAGTCGTCGTACTCGTGGTGCTGTTACTGATCTGGCATCATTTCCATCAAGTGAGTTAAAACCCCATTTTTTTCTGGGGGAGGGGGGGTGCATTTTTGTCACCGTATCGTTATTATTATCGTCGTCATGAACAATCAACAAAACATATCGATGTCGAGACGCGTACACCACGTTTTTATAATAGCATAATTTGTTCCCCTCTCGGCAAGCTCCGCCCACGTTCTCTAAATAGCCCGCAGTCGAAAAGCAGCCGCGTGTCTGTTGCATAATATGCGTACGTTCACGAGTTATTTCTTAAATGCGTTTTACCGAGCTCCGGGTGTGCGGGAAACGGGCGCGCTGCACTTCGAATACCGCAGATGGATTAAAGATATCGATTATTTGAATCGAAAACATCAATAACAACGGCGAAAAACCGATACTGTTACAATCATCAACAATGATGACCCGATGATGGGCCATTTCAGACGTGAGTAGTAAAATGTTTTACTAACGCTTAACGTATATTAATAACAACACGTCATAGCGGTATTTTTTACATATTATTTAATGTTTTTAACGGGTTAATATATCGTTTTTGGCAGAACGCAGGAAATTTATGTTTGTTTTCCTCCGTTTTCAATTGGTTTTCTTAAAAAAAAAAAAAAAAAACATTCGGTGAATTGAAAATAACGTACACAAAGATGACACAAGTCGATAGTGGTTGGACACGAACAGTCAAAACTTTTAAATAATTAAACGTTTTGGCTCTTGATAAAACGTTTCATTAGTCAAATAAAATTACAATCGTAGATACCAGGCGATGACTGTTTTCGATAAGATTTAATTAAAATTGTGATTTTTTACGTCCATCAATTTATTATTTTAATAAAACCGTACCATTTTTATACGAAACTGAAATATCTAGATGTTTTTTGTAAAATAAAATGTTAACATTTTGCAAATACAGATGCACAAAACAAATATTTACTCGTAATGAAACAAGCATATTTACATATATCAGTTTTAGTGTTTGAAAAAAAAAAATTTATATTTCCTTATATTTCGTATATGATCGTTAGTTTTTTTGCTGTGTTAAATGCAATAAACTTAACTTATCAAATGTATGAAAATGTAGTGACTTTATCAACATTAACCAATTTATAATGTCATAATTATAATATTAATAATTTATAAATAAATTTATTTTAAAAACAGGAAATTATTCCAAATTTGTGTACATATATTAAATATATGAATCTACAGTATGTAAATCTCAATATTGTTATTGCCTACAATATCATTATATATATCATTATTAGTACACTTATAGATAATCCGAGCTGTACAATTTTGAATTCTTTATTCATTGGAGTACTTCTTTTTATAATATTACTATAAACTGGATAATTTAGGAATAAATTATAATATTACTTAATGTTGCATTCTCTCGTTGATTGCATGGATATAAACCTAAATGTTAAAACCATAAGAGCTATTTTACTGAAAACGTAGAAGTATACCACATAACTTGCAGAAGTATTCTTGTAAATCATGGTAACGTTTATAATCTGTATGATTTATGAACTATATTTGTGTGCATAAAGTTCCTTTATTCAATCATTAATACTTGGATATAAATACATAAACATGTATGATGTTGTGCGATGAAATATAATTAAAATAGTGTATTATATTTTATAATAAACATGCATTTACGTCAAAAAAGAAATAATAATAAAAGGACATTGAAGTTTTTCGGTGGCGTAGAAACGAAGAACATGTCAAAGTTTGTGATGAAATAATTAAAGTTCAACAAAATACAATGAGTGAAGAGATCATGGATATATAGTAGGGAGAAAAAATAATAAAATAAATGAAGATGGATTATAAGAAATATTATGTTATAATTAGTATTATTATTATTAACTTTTTTTTTTTATTATTATTATAAATCGAATTAGTAGAATGCAATAATAGTTCTGAAAATAAAATTAATTTACAGTAAAATTATAGTATTTTAGTGAAAAAATATTTTCGAGAACTAAAATGAACTTAAATAATAAAACAGTACTGTTTGAAAAAATATAATATAATGGAAAGGATAACGCGATGTTGTTGAAATAATTATATACGTTTGAAATTATTAAAACAGACATAAAATGATAACTTAGAACAGAAAAAAAGCGTAAGCTTTGGATAGATATGATAGATGGACAAAGAAATCAGAGAAACCTAGGAAATTATAAGAAAATATATAAAAATTATAAAGGTACGTTGGAAACGGCAATGATTTTGCAAAACATTTGTTTGTACATTTCGTATATATTTTTTAAGAACACTTTTGATAAAGAAGTTATTATAAATCACGTGCAGCACATATAAAGCACAAATTATTCTTAATATAAACTAGCTGAACTACTCGAATTCGCCCGGGTGATATTTTACTATTTTAGTTTAGAAAAATCATACCAATTACTAATCTAAGAATTTTAGGTTGAAAAAAAGCACAAAATACTTGTATATTCGAAAATTATTAATTTTTATTGATTTATACAGTATATTAATTTATCTTCGTCGGTGTTTATTAAAATCAACATACATTTCAATATATTAATAGAAATTCCAGGTAACCACAAAATTTAAAAAGGTCATATATCCAGCCCAAAATATTTTCGACCCTTAAAAATGTGATTTTTGAAAAATACTTTCTTATTGCATTTCTTGATCATTAAAGGAATCACTATTCTCAATCTAAAGTTTATATAATAAGTAAATATTGAGAAATAACGATAAATGAGTGATTATTAATCTTAAAAAATTAAGATGTATGAAAATATAAGTATAAATATTGCAGAAAATAATATAAGTACTTGGTAAATTCGATTATTCTTAACAAATATTAAAATAGTTCCGTGTTAAATTTCCATTCACATTTATTTTAAGACCGAAATCAAACGTACTTTATCGACGTATTTCCATTAAAGCGAGTTCGTTAAGGTGCTGAAATATATTCGTATAGTACCTATTCAAATAAATTATGGACTATTTACGGTTTTATTTTTTTATTATCAAATATGTATAATTTACGGGCACAGTATTTTTGGGTCTTAATAATTGAATGTCGTAATGGAAGTATGTATATCGATTTTTTTAGACGTAAAACGATGAACGCTATTTTTTACAAATAATATTAATAACGAATGTGATATTGTCACCGAGATTTCTTGAGTCATATATGATGGTAATTCTTTTGAATGACAGTCGTTTATCACACCGTTTTCTTTTCCTTTAGGATAAACATCAATGCAATAATTTGTTTTCTTATCTTCCAGTTACACACGCTCACTGCGGGTTTCCATCCTAATACAATTTATCGTAATATTTTTTTTCATCATTTTTTTTAGAATACAAATGGTTTGGCTAACACATAGAACGTAGCCATCCAAATTCATCGAACATTGAATAATACGAACTAAATCTAGCGAACATATTATAGTATCGTCATACTTTTTCGGTCTGAAAACTACTCCAGTGTAAAATTCTGCAAACTTCTTGAAATATTCCAATATTTTAGAGAATCTATAGACAATTATAAATAAAACACATATGTTAAAATCGAACAAATTATCGAATATCCATGTTTAAATATTATAATATTTGTATTTTCATGAGAAATAATTCATATCAATACGTGTTTATTATGCATGAAAATAGACCAGGTTAGAGGATTTATAAAAAATGTATTTATTTTTCTCCCGTATAGCGTTAAAATAAGTTCTAAGGTCTTACATTTTTATTGGGAAAAAATTCTTTTATTGTTGAATATCAATAACTAATCATTTTAGTTTATTATATTTTTTTCTGAAATTTATCTGACAGTTGTAAGACATTTCTTTTTATATTTAAATAATATGAAAATTAGAGTAAATTTAAACTTTAAGTGTTTATTAAAATATAATTATTAATATTTAAAAATGTTATGCCAACAATTATAAATTTGCTTGGTGACTAAAAGCACAGTACGTTTATATGTATACAGTTTTACCTTTAACTGTCTGATGTTTATTATTTTAATTATTGTTTTTTTTTTTTTTTTTTTTGTATTGTAATACGAGTATAATAAATTTAAAATTATATAATTATTTACTATTAATTGAATAAGAATGAGTTTTAGAGTTATCATAATGTCATAAATATCTTAAAATATAATATAATAAATTAACAAAAAATTTATTTTTTCACAATCTAAAACATATTTGAATTAAAAGAAATTAGTTAGTTATAAAATGATTGTATTACATTTAGAAATATAAAACAATTAATTTTATAATTTACCAAATAATATACATTCTAAGCTAAAAATTAAAGGAAAAAAGATAAAATAATATTTAGATATCAAGAATATTTATGTAAGATATTGTAAAAATTGTATTTAAAATAACATGTCTGTTTTATACCCTAATATCGCATAAGGTATTATGAGAAACAAACTTATCGAATTATGTTGGGAATACAACTAAAATATTAATATTAATTTATAAATTACATTTAAAACGCTAATATAAACATACTTTACCTACTTTACAAGTGTTTTAAACCGAAGTGAATCGGTGTATAACATTGAATTAAAAATATTGAAATTGTAATTCACTCCAAATATTTTAAGGTTGTTGTGGTTCGGACAAAATAATTATTTGATATGTCGTTAGCTTATATTTGTGAACGATGGTTATGTAGAACATATGCACATAATATTTGGAACAACATTATTTACCGTATTTATATAGTAATACCAACATAACTTCATATGATGACGTGTATTTTTGAACCAATTGTCAAAAAATTATGTTTGTCTGCGAATTGTTAATGAATTTATTTAGTTTATATTCCTATTGCTTATACAGTAACAAGTAATTTATTGTAGTAATAAATAATTACTTACAGTTTTAAACAATTTTTTACAATTTTTTACATAAGTAAATCTCGATACCTATTTGATTTCAATACTATGAAATTAGTATTATTTTACATCATAATTCAATGGAAATCATGAAACAGTGAAAAAATTTTAATTTAATGATCCTGATTCCATTTTAAATGTTCCTAAATAACGGTATTAATAATGTTACAGTGGTATCCGTATTATTTTCTGTACTAACAAGTGCTGTACTCAACTACTAATTTCATAAAAAGAAAATATTGAGTACTTTTTTTATATACGAATTTTATATATATAAATATATATATATATATGAGTGCCCATTTACAAGTATTTGTATCTATTAAAAATCATATTTGATGTTTTTAGTGCACAATAAAAAAAAAAAAAAAAAATGATGAATGGTTTTATTGAAAACATGATGACGAGTTTCCTTTAAATTAATTATTATCGTCTGTGAGTATGCAACCAAATATTTAATAGAATACTGAAGTGTCTCAGAATTTTGATTTTGTATTATTACCTCATTATTATTATTATTACAATACCCAGTAAAAGTAATTTGTTTTATACTTGTAACAATTTAGTCTGAGTTTTTACGAAGAAACAAAAAAGTAATATAAAAATGATCTATTTCTTATAACTATGGTGGCTTAGTTTGTTTTTAATGCGAATATTGATTTGTGAATAAATATCGTAGATACATGTACTTACAAAACAAATTATTCCAACTTTGGGTAGAAAATCGAACTGTACATAAATAATTGAATATTTTCCTTTTTACAAATAGATTATGGTTAATACTTAATTTTTTCCATTTTTTATCAAACGATTATCATCAAAATTATTAATGAAGGTAGTCAATAAAATTAATCAGTCTTCGAGTTTGAATTCGTATTTCCTTAAAAATAGAAAACAACATGGAAAATCGTAAAATAAAACTCATTTAAAATAATTTTAAGTCACTACGTGAAAAATATTAACCATTCGTTCAGAATCTAACGGGTTCCATTCATAAAATAACAAAACACTATGTAAAATAAAAATAGTTTACAAGTGATTTTATTTTCTATTTTCTATTTCGGCAGTCTTGTTGGTAGTATTTGCAAATTGTAGTCGGATTATTTTCCTCGAACATAGAATTTCGTTGGATGTCATATATGAACCACAGTAATAATTTCGATGATTTACCGAACCACAACCGTGCACGGAAGTTATTGTGCCGTAAGAATGTTCAAGGCGAGGGATTAGTTCGATAATTTTCCCCGTTATAAACTATTCGATCGTTAATTGGCTTGTAATTCACCGTTCGAACCTGCCAAAGAGTACACGAAGAATGATATTGTACCCTAGTGGCCGTCGAATATTTCTCTGACACTACGCTTCGGAAAAGATACCGTGCGAACCGTGTTGGAACGACGTGCGCAGTTGAGATAATTGTAAACAACGCGGTCCGAAAACCGAACGGTTCTTATTTTTGTTTATTTTTTCGCGTAACGTGTCGAGATTTATTAGAAATGTATTCCATTAGGATGGGAGGGTACATATTTTTCTGTGATTCGTTCGAATGAAAAACGAACGACCCAATAATAATCGTGTGTTTTACACGTAGCGATGATAACGAAACGTACGAGAATCACAATAGAATCCTGTTCAGCTCACGGCGGCATTTTGAAGACACGTGTGTGCGTGCGTGTTATACACGTGTACGTAACGTGTTGTAAAGAGTGCGAAGCCCCCGAAAAAAAAAAAAAAAAAACAAATAGACCAAAAAACCGTTTTGTCCTTACGTCCTCATTTATAATTAGGCACGTCCTGTAAGTCGCATATAAATAAACTCCAAATCCAATTGTCCCGCAGTTCGTAATGAATAGTTTTGTTTTTTGTCAGTTACGTGGCATTGTTAGCTCGTTCTTGTATTGCCCAGTGGACTGCTGCCAGATATCGATACGCGTAGGAAATCCACCATTCCGCGTCAATGCGTATCACGTAAACCCGCCGTCCTGTCGCGTCCCGCGATATTCGTCTAGTTTTCGCGTTGCGTTTCAGCACGCGTCTGCGAGTGCCGCGATACATCGTTTCCGGTTCTTTCATTGTATTCCTTTCGTCCACAATATGAACATAAAATCTGTATAGGAAACAACTGGCATGTAGTTTTTTTTTTTTCCCACACGACACGTAGAAGCTACAATATAACGTTTGTTTGTTTCAGAAAACAAGATTGGCGATCGATTGCGGAAGAACACATGGTATTAGGGCGAGGACGGTTGCTGCAACTAGAAACCTCGTCAGGTCTTCGGAACAAAAACGCTGCGTTGGGTAAGTCTTCGATTAAACGAAACGTAATTACCACATCGAATTTAGGAAAAACATTTAAAACTCGTACCCTGCAATTTTAAATATCATTTTTACATTCACAGTTGAATAATATTGCACTACATTTTTCATGGTATCAATATAAAATCATAATTGTTTATACAAATTTATATATATAAATGTAAATCTTTCGTAAAGAAGCACACCGATAAAAAGAAAATTGTAATTGGAAAAAAAAACCAATGACGATTAACTCATTTGGTATTAGCTAACGGTTATAATGATATGCAGATCATTAAAGTTTTCATTAAGTCCAGCGTAATAACATTTTGGCTTGATATCAATAAGTCTACAACACATGTTCGAATAACAGAAAGCAATGGCTTTTAAACTCAGAAAACAGTATACACTTTGATTTTATGTAACATATAAAGAACTATATATATATATTTTATTTCTAGTCCATTTATTTTGTTTTTAGTCAATAAATTAATAACAAAACGTAAAAAAATTCTACATTTTACAGATTAATTTTGAATTGAAAAACTATTTGACTATGATGCGTTTCAAAATACATCTACGTGTTTTAGTTTAGTAAAACTCAATAAAATCTGTTTTTGCATCACGTACTTTTAATTTGAAATAATATAAATATTTTATATAAATGTATAAAAAAAAAAAAAACACATCTAATAGAAGACTATAACATTATTTAATAATAATGAAATTAAACTGCTGATAATTTAATATTATAAATTACTTTCCGTGAGTAATTTACTTAAATGTTGGTAAAGCGCAGTTAAATAATAATTTATTTATGTGTGAAAATAACTAATTTTCTAAAGATGTCGAAAATGGATTGTAACCAAAACTCAAATTAGAAAGTACAAAGTGGAGGAACTCAAAAACTCAATTAATAATTTAAAACTGAATTCCGAGCTTAAATTTATGTTACATTTAACCATGAGGAGATCCGTTCCATCTACTTCCAACTATCACTATATTAATTTCAATGGGATAGAGTTTAACCACTTCATTAAATAATATATTTTCAACAAAGTAGAATAAATATAGGATAAATTTAGATAATTATCTTTAGTTTCATTACAAAAACCTATTATACTAATAGATAAATTTCAAAATACTTATATTGTGTCAAAAAAATACATTTTTGTAAAAATTCAACCCATCGGCTGATCTAGTAAGGCATGACAAATTATGGAAATCAAATTCATATACAAACTACATTTTAGCCCAAGAACCCGTTTAAAATATGTGGTAATGAGTGATTTAATTCATTTAAGTTAATTATTGTTATTACTTTTTTGCAGAAAAAGAGAACAGATAATTGGAATAATGCAGTATGGTATCGTAGAACCGCCAACAATGAAGGTATGTTTAAACTTACCTATTAGCTAGTACCTATTACACTTAGAAAATAGCTATTTTTGTCATAGAATGTCTAACAATTAATAATTAGTTTTTATAAGTAAAAATGATAATATAAATTCATAAAATTTCCTTTATAAAAAAAAATAAACATTAAAAAAATGAGGTTACAAAATATAATTTGAAAATTGTAATATTTTGAATATGATAGATTTTTTTGATTTAGCTGTACGGTGCCTATTTTAAAAACACATGCACCTCATAGACGTTTTAATAATTATAAAATAAAATGTAATAATGATAAAGATTTTAAAAAGTTGAGTAATGATTAATTACTGAAAAAAATGATTGATATGTGTTTAGATTTTAACACTAGGTAGTCGGAATCCTTAACGTTATTTGTAGATCTCTAATAGCATACCGGAGAAAGTAATAATTTATACTTTTAACGTTTTTCAATGACTTCTGAAAATAATAATATAATACTCAACAAAAATTACATTCAATTTTATTGCCAACAATGCCACAAGCTACTATAATCAAATTATATACCACCAAGCAAAAATATTGTAGTGATTTTATTTCTCTGTCGATGGAGAAAAATAAAATTTTATTCACAATATAACTGACAAGTCTCTCTATTCAACCTGATTATCGAATGTTAAATCAACACAAAATTACGATTTCCATTTGTTGATATCCTTGTTGTTCAGTAAATACTATTAATGATTAGCCTAGCTGATCGTTTACGGAAATTAATTAGTTAATAATTGGCTCGTTGTAAAAAAGTCATATAAGTATTACGATTAACTTGAAAATATTGCCAATCCAAACATCGTGTAAGATCATAATTTACAGTAGATGATGTATTATTCAAGAAAAATTCAAAATACTTCCTTGCCCAAATTCAGCGTATTTATTATTTATTATTATATTAGATTGTGAATGGAACAAGACATATGATATTGATTTAACAATGACGTTATTTTTTTTCTACTAAAAAACTGTCTAAGTCAGAAAAATTACTCTAAATATTATATGAAGCTCCAAAAATTCAGAGGTAATTGAATGTAGTTTGTACTATATTCATGGATTGAAAACAATAAACATCTATTTTTTTTCAAATAGTTTCGGAACTAAATAGTAAATTACTATAAAAGCATGTTTTTTAATTGTTAATGTTTTTAACATAGTTTTGATCGATTTTAGATATATTTTCAATTTTTTCTCATGATTATATGGTTTTATTTACACGTTTTAATTTATATTATTTTGATATTTTATCATCAAGAATGTAGCAAAACAGTATAGTACCTATATTCCAGAAATAAAGTCGGTATGAAACTCTTTCCACTATTAGTTTTCCTAATAACTTATGGTTTGATAATTTTATACACAATATATTGTAAATTATATTTGGCTAAATAATAATGAATGCTACACAAATATTCTTATTAAGAGTTATTTATTGTTGTTTACCATCAAAAAATGTTTCTAATTATTTTGATTCCTTAGAAAAATTCAATATTTATTTGAAGATATATTCATACGAAAATTGTAGAAATAATTATAATTTGATTAGTTTTATTATTTAAGTGGTAAAAAAAAAACAGAAAAAAATTTGATATTTTTGAGTAAAATATTTTTTGAACATGATGTTACTCATAAATTGAATTCGAAATTACCTCATAATTATATTTATGAGTATTAATTGTGAATTTAATTATTCTCTATTTATCTGATACCATAGGCGCAACTAGAGTTCAATTTCTGGGTGGGCTGAATTTTAATGATACTAGCAACCCGTAGGGACTTCGTCCCCACACCCCCAATATTGATTATCAACATTAAAATTTATATTTATATAAATTAGAAGTCCTTACGACCTTACCCATAGTCGTTAATAGTTTATTTCGAAGTAAAATGTTGTCACTTACCTAGTCACTTATTACTTACAGACTAGCTACCTAAATAAACACGAATAATAAGGATCTACATATATAATCAATGAAATATACAGTTCACAGTTATTAAATTTTTATTGTAAGGCCTAGATAAATTAAAAATATTTTTCTATTTTTTTTCAACAAATTTATTTACAATTTCATTTTCGTCTAATTTGTTGGTTACTTCTGTTTTTATATTTAAAATAGATAAATTTGTAAATCGATCATGGGCCATGGAAGATCTAAGCCAATGTTTTATTCGTCTCACTGAAGATAACAATCTTTCACAGGTGTCTGAACTTATAAGAATAGATAAAGCCACTTGTAAAAGTTTAGAAAAGTTTGGAAATATTTGTTTTTCGACTTCTTTGACATCATTTATATTGAAATCTTTTTTTTTTATATTATTTAAAGGTTAAATGCCACTTTAATTTCTGCTTCTAAGCTACTCTTTGAAATATGAAGTAATTTCTATAATTATAATTATTATAATTAATTAATTAGTTATCATTAATCTCTTATACAATTAAAATGTATTTATATACATTGTATTATCAAATTACCATATAATGATAAATAAACTTCATTGAATCGGTTGTAATTTACAAAATGAACTACAACCGAACTGGCCATAGCCAAGCTTTAATTAGAAAATCTATATTTAGGATTGAAAATAACACTGTCAATAGTAAAAAAATATGTAAAAGTCTTCCAATAACTTTCTACATAATTTGCTAATGACGGATATGAATCATTTTCTGCCGCCGTTATAGCTGTTAATGCATAGTCATGAAGGCTAGTTGACTCTCTTCTGCGATGCTTTGATCCTATATTTTGTATGTATTATTTAGGTTAAAAAACATAAAAAAAATTATTAAAATCACAAAATATATACACCAGTTAATGGAGTTAGTAACCACACTTCATTTTCTTCAGCAAATATTTTTATTTATTCCCATATTTTCTTAAATTTATCTTCAGATTTTAGAGTTTCAAATGTCTTAATTACACCAACAATTACATTTTTAGAAAAACCAAGAGTTGATGTTTTATTTTGTAGTGAAACTGAATGGGCTACGGACAAAACTGGGTGGGCTAAGCCCACCCAAGCCCCCTCCCCCTTAGTTGCGCCTATGTCTGATACAAATATTATTTTCGTAAACTTAATAGTCGGATAGATTGATAGATTATTGTTTTACGATAAAAATATATTTTATATAAATGCAATAAAATCCTATGAAATCATTGTCTAGACACTGATTTAAATACGTTTCCTGGCTTGAATAATTTTTTTTTTTTAATTGCTTTTTCAATGATTCTAAAGTAATTATATTTTTATTTTGAACCCAGTTTCCATATTTCAAATAAATAATAATTAAATTTGTATCGATCAAATAATTTAAAATATTACATAAATATAACATAAATAACATAAATATAATATAAATATTATGTTATATATAGTCATATAACATTTTCGTAACAATTTTGGCTAGATGTCACAGTTGAAAACTGATTTTGTATTAAATCATATTATATATTTATATAATAAGTGCATACTTAATATATGCATTTTAAACTGATGAAATGTTTTGATAATTTTTTTTTAAACCCTATTTAGTTTTTTATAATATACAGCCTCAATAATTTCAATTTCTTGATATATTAAACATAAATAAATACAACTTTTTACATTTTCAATACATTTTTATTGATATGACGATAATTAATATATTTTGTAAACTAACTAACAACTATATTATTCTTTCAGTTTAATAACTATTCAAGCAAACAAATGAAGAGTTACGAAATACATCAAGAAGGCATTAAAAAAACGTTAAAAGACATAATTACTGAAATCGAAGAGAAGGGAGACTTGTGTTTTATTTCTTCCTCCAAAAAATCTGTATGTAGAACTATTATTGTACAAACATTGGTGATTTAAATATATCTTAACATTTGTCTTATAATATTAATTGAATATTTTATTATTTAAAATCAAATATAAACATACTGTTTGTTTTAATTTTTTAGGATAATGACTACTTGTCATTCGTTGAAACCGCAGATCAAACGCATTTAACAGAAGATCTGTCTTGGGAAAATCGAAATTTTATATGTCTTTGGAATGACTTAAAAGTAAACAAAACTTTTCCTACTTAATATCCAAAATATCTGAAACATATTATATAAATGTTTTCCATCGATTATAGATCGGAGAACAAGCGGACGTAAATAACGGATCCGAGAACTGTAGAAAAGAGGTAAGTTTTTTAAAAATATATTAATTCCACTCAAATGAAATATATACATGAACGTAAAATTACGATTATCCAATATAATTTTACAATAATGGGAAATATAATATCAATAATGTATGTAAAACATTGTAAGATTAATTAAAAATTCTAATGAAAATCTTACAAAAAAAAAAAAAAAAAAAAAAAAAAAAAAAAAAAATATTTTAAACAAAAACCGTAAAACTTAACCGTACGAAATTTAAAAAAAAAAAAAAAAACTGAGTTATAGTATTGTACATACAATGTTCATTAAACATTGTATAAGTATAAAGTTAATTTCTTTTTAGTACATAATGATGTACGTAACGCGTGGCCTACATTATGCTCAACTTCCAACACGATTCGCGAACTGCGATTATAGTTTATTTATTACATTGACAATACGCTTTCAATGTACGGTTTTGTCAACGCAAATTCAATTAGAACCGAAATCTGAGTAGTGGCACACAACCTATTGTACTTGGCCCGCAGCGCCGTGATATTTTAAGATCACACCGTTTTCCTGGTTCATTTCCAAAATATGTGCTCGGAAGGCGATTTGAATGCAGTGCAGTACTAAGGTAATGGCTAACCAATCGAACCCGCTCGCTAGTTTGGTCGTGTCAAGCGTCGAGTCGTTGTTGCTGTCGTCATCAAAATGTAAGCACCTTTTGTTGGTTATATCTCGAGAATCCGTTTTGTCACGTAGGGGCTGTTTGCTTTCGCGTATAAATGTAAACCGTTGCATAAAAATCGGGTTTGTACAACTCTGTTCCTAACACGCACAAACGGCATCGTCTTAATTCTCGCCGGTTAACATTGTTACGCGCCCAATGGACTCAAGCCAAAGGGTTAATTTGCAGAAGAGCCGTAGCAATATCGTGTCTGAAAGAGGCTTCAGGCCTTCTGATCGTTATGACTCGACGAAAAAAGAATTCTTAACTAGTCTGTCTCAAAAAATCTGGCGAGCGTCGTTGGTAAGTGGCTTGTTGAAACTGGCGCGCGCGTGTAATTTACCAATCTTGTGTTTTTTAATGGAGTTAGTCTTTACGGTAAGCACCTCGGTGCGTTATTTATATATACGCGTATATACGTGTACAAGACTCACGTGGATAATGTGTTAGTGTAGGGAAAATGTATCGAATTACAAGTTCATTTGATTACAAAAATATTTTTATAATTACAAAATATCATGTAACATATAATTTTCTCGTTTGAAAAATAAAACAGTATAGTAACTAATTTTCAAAAACAATTCAAGTATGAGAATCGCTACGAATGTTGGAAAAAACAAACTTTTGTAGGAATAGCATTTCTGTTGAAAATCAGAAATTCACAACAACCGTAATCTGTGGGAACATTGAAACGTTGACTAAGAAGATTTGTTTTTGTTAATCATCTTAATTCGCCCACTCGTGTACAATTGGGTCGGCTTTCACGTTTTAAATCGAATTAGTAAATTTAGTCATAAACTATGAATATAGTAACAAAATTAAAACATAAACTTAGCATGTATTGTTCCTTTAATTGTTTAATGGGAAGAACGTGGAAAATTGGAGTTACTCCTAATTTATTTAATCGTTTACTGTAAACTAAACTGTAACTTAACTATTAACAAAGTTTAAATACAATACAGATGATGATACAATACTATAAAAATAAAAATAATTATTTGAGACGTTGATTGATTATTCAAATTTATTTTCGTTTTATAAAATTGTATGGGGAACTGTAAGTTGCAGTTTATGGAGTAATTGATTAGAATACACATTGTTATTTTGTTATTGATTTTTGACTTCAGACTTGAGAATTAAACAATGCAAATTAGTTATCAAAATTTTTAACCACTACAGAAAATCATAATATAAGTACATATAAGGAAACAGTAATAGATTTATAGATTAATATAATTTACTTTCATATTAGGTAATACAAATGTATGTTAAAACACAACATGACATTATTTAGTTGGATTTATATATTGACTTCGTATTTTGTATTATGTGGTAGGTACAAATGAATAACTATTTACAATATACAAACAAACATTATAAATGTGATTTGAGTTATAAGAAAATATATATTATGAATGAAAATGTTGTAGTGATTAATTTTAAAAACCATTTTTAATATTTTTTTAATAGGTAAATAGTGAAAAATAATAATAATTACAATACATTATAGGTATTAATATCGTTTTCTATATTTTATAATTTAAGGCAGTGGTTGTCAACCTTTTTGATCTCTTGGGCCACATTGTCCATTTAAGAATCATCTAAGCACTACAAAATATTGATATTACTCTCAATTTAATTCCCTTGTTTTGAAATTTAATGCAAGCTGTATAAATTATACATGTAGGTCGGATGCGGCTCGTGGGCCACCGGTTGCCAACCATTTAGTGACAAAGAACGAAGCTCATAATTTTTAAATCTGTGGATTACTTGTAACATGGAAAACTGATTCTTACGGTTATTATTATTAGTTGTTTTCCAATTAATATAATGAGTCTATAAAAATATATAATATGCAATATTATGGTGTTAATTTTATTTGTTTTCAGTTCATTAACTGAAACAGAAAAAATTGTTAATCTAACCCACAACTGAGAATAAAATATTTGTTTCAAATAACATATTATATAAAACAATTGATATAGATCAATATTAATATATTTATACTCTTATTATAATTTTACATCATTTATTTATATTTATGAAATTTCCAGTAAATTTTTTATTTTTTAATTTTTTTTTAATACCTTAAATTTCCCATAAGATTAAATAATGGATGTTAAAAAATTATTATTACTAGTGATGTATACCGGAACGCCAACCATATGCGCAATAAATATTACTATTATCAACACTATTTTATACATACTATTATTGTTAATCAATGGGTAGAGGAGAATGGAGGAATAGATGTAAGATGGAATGGTCTTGAAAGGTCTTTAACCAGAAGAAGAAGATTATTGATAATCATAATTTTCAAGTATCTTACTCGTAGAAAATTAATTTATCATTGATTTTTTCTACCTAAGAGATTTTATCACTTTAATACAGTACTAATTTACGTGATTTGACTCATACAATATATTTTTTAAGCTTGACACATAAAATAGTTTAAAAACTAATGTACTAGAAAATTGAAATTTTTTCACCATAAAAATTTTATTTTTTTTAATTTTATTTATCAAGGTTTTGAAATGTGTGTATATAATGAATAATATTTATACATCCTCAATTATGTTTTCAGAAATAAAAAAAAAATTTCATTGCAGAATATAAATTTATCCTTTTCATTCAAAATTTACTAAAAATATTTTGAGATAATTTATTTATTTTTTTACTTTTCTTTATGCAGTGACCAATTCAATATCAAAAATAGGACTGATATAGTACGTTTTTTATTCTTACAGTTATTGCAATTTGGAATATAAAATATACCCAACAAAGATTTCTTATTTATTTTGAAACAAAAACAAAAATTTATAATTTATATTGTGATTCAAGGTTGACATGAACTCATAATTGAAATATTAAAAGAAATGTTGATGATTAAAGATTCTAAAAGTTTATAATTACCACTATGAACATGTTTATTCGAAATATTTAAATAAATAATATGATTTTTGTTAACAACTTTAAAGATTAAATAAATATTTTATATTGTTTCTTAAGATCTATGATTTTAACACAAACATAAATTGTATTTTATTGTGAGTTATATTTGAGTTAAAAGTGTAATACATGATATTTTAAAAATTATTTTGGCTTCGATATTTCGTAAGAACTGACTTTTTATAACAATTTTATACATCGTGTGTTTAAAATGTATAACGAATCGTAACGACAATTTTGAGGATTGACAAATGCTTATCGTTCAACCCAATCTTCTATGATTGATTTAATTAATTATTAAAAAAAAAAAAATTAACATTCAAACCAATAAAACAAAATGTAAAGTTGGCTCTGATTATCAAGTATCATTATTCGTATTTAATTGGAAGCGCATTGTCGAAAAAAGCGGATCATTACTCGAATACATAGGCAATACGTTTAAACCGCTTTGAAAACACTCGGCTTGTCTATCATCCGTTTAGATTCTAAAATAAATACGCTGACGATGTTCAAAGTGTCTGTCACAAACAATATGTTTTGACTGTTTTCGACTTAAAAACGATTTTCTTTTCCCGTCGAATGGACGAACCGTGTTCCGTTCATTTTATACACGCGTGCGTGTACCTGGTTCTAAAAGGTAAAACGTCTTGTAATCGCGTTTACCGCCATTAGCCGAGCGCGGACGGTGAAAGTTATCGCGAAATTAGTCGTTTAAATGATCCTTGTTTTCTTTTTGAAGTTGCGTCCGAGCCAGATAGACACGGCCGGCTAGACACCCACACGATCTGGACGGTTGCCCGGCGGCGGCGGTTTCCATAACACTACTCTGTCGGCGTAACTTGTTTAATAACACTGTAACGAAGCCGGACGTGTTAACGCGAACAAAATAAAATAAAATCGGGAATAAAAAAAAAAAAAAAAAGTTATAATAATAAAAATAATAAAAAAAAAAAAAAAAAAAAATCGTGCCGGAACACTGTCGTGCGGTTCGTAACGGTTTAGCGCGCGCGAACGTCCGTTGGAAGGGACGGCGGTCTGCGGGATCGCCCTTTCGGCCGGGCCGTCCAGTCGGTTCCGGGCGAGCCGCGCGCGAACACACCGTCCCCGCGGACATGAAAACGTGGAAGCCGGTGAACGCAGCCCGAGGGCTGGACGCGAAAGGATTGCCGAAGATCGTCGTCACGGACGCCGGGCGGCCGGGCGGTGTCGAGAAATCGCAGGTACGCACACGCGCGCGGTCACCTCTCGGATTCCGTCTCGACGAGCCGAATCCGGTCGATGTGCGAACCGAAAACCGTCCACCGAGCGCAACGATAAAAACGGTTGAAGCGCCGCGAAAAAGTTTCTTCCCGGTTATCGTAATCGATTGACGCGTTTCGCCACCGTGTCCGTTGTAACAATTACAACGATGTGTTCGAACAGCTTATTGAAATCGATTCTCACGTAAACTAAATCGCTTGTCGTCCGATCCGGGCAAGTTTGACGTTTAAGTACGAACAGCTCGGTGATAATCCTAGTGAACCCAACAATCATTCCATCGCACAGCGTTAAACAATAAAATATTCAACATAAAACCAATGTGTTATGTGACATTTTAAAACGTACGCAATGGTTGTTGGGTAAAAAACGTTTCTCTTTAAGTCGCGTGGAAACCCAAGTGAAATTCTTACGAAATTTAATTATAACACCACTACGTTGACATACACGCTCAAATAGCTTTCTCGTAATAGTAACCACACGCCCACAGCATAGGATGTCTGGCTTTGATTAAACTGATCTACCAAAAATATAACGTTATTTTACTGACCTTGTATTATTATACAAATTTATTTCGATATATCATTATATGATATGATTTTATATGAATACTTTGTTTGTAAAACATGCATCGTTTAATATAAATGTATATTTATGTTGATACATTATAAGAATTAAGTCGTAAAAAATCAAAATCAGAGTATTCTTTAGTAAATATCTGCTAAAATATATCAGTGAGGCATTTATGTTTTTAATAATCGACGCTTATTATTTACATTATCATTAATGTGATACCTATATGATATCAATGATATCTGTATCATTCGTTACTGGTATTTATTTGACGTGTTTTACAATGACATATTCGGAAAAGATTGATGAATCTATAATTTATAAACTAAAATAAATTATTATTAAAAATTGTATAAATTGGTTAACTTAAGTTTTTGTTTTATTTCAAAATTTATTTTGTCTATATTTATTTGATAACCTATATTGTTGATGGAGGTCTATTATTAAACACCCAGAAATGTTCACTGTCCGGAGTTTTTTAAATCGTAAACATTTTTATGATTTAGGTTTTAAATCAAGAATACTAAGAATTTGTTATACAGTTATTTTTATTTTATCTATATTATTTGTATGAGTTTCACGAAAATTTATAAGACGCAGTTTTTTTAGACCGAAAATTGAACATTAATGCAACATTGAAATCATCTTTCTTAAAGTATAACGAAATTTCAAATACAATTTGGAAATCACTTTGAACTTTTAGATTTATCATATTACTTATTACATACCAAACTATGTTAAATGCTGTGATAATTTGAAGATTTAAAAATTATTTTTTACTTATATTCGAAAAATATTGTATTTTTACCATTCCTATAAATGATATTCTTTAAAACTATATATAGATCCATGTAAAATAATCGCTGACCCAAGATAACATTATCAATATATTTTAGAATAACTATTGTACAATAAAACATAATGATTGTTGTACCTTTGATATTATACGATTCGCGATATAAAGATAAATAAATAATAAAGAAAATATAAATTCTGTATATATTGAAACTAGACAGAGTAATATCCCATTAATAAAGTGGGTGCGGTATTATACAATTTCTTGATGATCTATTAAAAATAAAATAAAGTAACGAGTGAGTTTTAAAATTAATTGATATACACTGAATGCAATTGTTTGTAAATAATTAACGAACATTTATAATTTTATAAACTAATGATTTAACTTTGCCAGATAGTGAAACGCTCTATTCATTTAACATTTTGATGTATGAAAACAATGGAATGAGTTTATAAAAATAAATTCTAACATTTAATCGTTATAAAAAGCTTTATAAGAATTAAATTATGTCGAGTTTAATATTTTAATTGAGCTTTCAATTTAAATCTAATTTTTATTTTTTGGAAAAAAAATTTACTTTCGGTATGCTTAATTTTTACATCTCAAAATATTAAAGAATTATCACACAATATTTCTAATGAAGTAACTTTATATATATATGTATAGTAAAAGTATATAAATGATTGCTTAATTTACAATAAACTGAGTCGATGATGGTCGAATCTTCTAATAGCACCATACAGATATTATTCAAGTTTCAAAACAAATTAGAGTACTGACTGGCATGTAATTCATGTATTCAACTGAAACTATAAATGTCCGTTTCAACCCTGACTAAAACGTCATATTTTCAATTATATTTATATTTAAATTCATAAGTAATAACTTATAATACTTCACCTTAATGATGATAGATTTTTATATAATGTATAAAAAGTCAGAGAACTATTATAAAATTAAATAATAATTGTAAGTTCCTATAATACACAATTTATAAAATGTATCAATACATTTCGCATTAGAAAATACTCTTATACAGTTTTCTAGAGTTCTGGTATTTTTTGTGTTTATGGATACTATCTTTTTACTGTAATTCCTTAGTTTTTTTCTAAATATCTTCACTTCCTGGTTTTTGGTATTATTTTATGTATTTATGTACTGAATATAATATAAATCAATTGCATACCAAGATTCATGAATATGTATGTAATTTTGAAAATCTTCATATGTGTAAGTCTTATTCCGTTAAAATATTATTTTATAAATAATTTCAATATTTTTTTACATTTTTATTTTATTTAAAAAAGTGTAGTTTAGTAATATAATTAGTAAAATTAATATATAATATTATTTAAGGTAACATTTTAAACTGTAAGATATCTAAATTTCTGTCAAATTTATCTCTGGAAATATTACAGATAATTTTAAGTTAAATATTTTTTCGTAGATCAGTCCTTTAGAATATTTTAAATTTATTTCTTTAAGAATTGACCAATATAGATAACTACGGTACGGAAGTCGACTTCAGAACGGTATACACCGTGATTATTCTTACTGTCCTAGTTTGAATAATTTATTTTAAAATCTGAATAAGTACTTGCAGTAACTAATTAAAAATCCGAAAAAATCATATTATAAAATTGTTCTAACACTTATGGCAGTTCCCACTCATTAGTTTAGGGAATTTCTAAAAAAAATATGTGTAATTCTATGTTTCAATAATCACCAATAATTAATGAGTTAATTATTATTTACGTATCATAAATTGTGATTAGTTTATAGCATCATGTTGTCGGCAATATTCGAGAAATTGTTATTTTATTCTTTAGTAAACAGAAAAAAAAAACAAAAAAAAAAAAAAACATTTTGTACAGCTATAGTTATATACCATAGTTAAAATAGAAACGAAAGAGTTTAAAATGTCCATTGAATTGTTTATCGCCATCAATGATGAACGCAACATGTGTGTTTTATGTTATAAACTGGTCCAGCACAAACGCATTTGACTCACAGTCGTGAATGTATGGGCTAATGGGTCATGGATTATTGCCAACGCCGCCGCACGTCTAAATCTGTTCAATCATATCAATCGATTTCAAATACTTAACACGATGTACCACGCAAGTTTTTGAGCTATCTGTGTTCGGTTTTTTATTTTTTTTTTTTTTTTTTTTTTTATTCCCGGTCGAAAAAAAATATGTCTATTATTTACTTATTTTTTTATCCCTCCACACCTATATCGTTTACCTTCATCATTCTAGTCGAACAGTTTCAATTCTCATAATAGTTTGATCGGACAACCGCTATTTGTTAGATGTTGCTACTTGTCCAATTTGGCCGACCAGTGTGCTCCAATAATGCATTTTTCGAGTGCTATATATAATCGCGTTCTTGGGGCTTTGCCATTGTCGTCACACAGTGAATTCATTATTCATCCCGATCCCATTTGTATCCATCCACCGTGTAGACCTATCTACAGATTTTTTCAAAATTTAATTTTTATTTAATATCTTTTTTATTTTTAATAAACTTCATATTTAGTTCCTACACTTTAACGTTTTCGAAAACGAATTCTTTTTATTTAATACCAAATTAAAAACGTTCACGTTTTGTTCAATTATTATATGATAAATATTTTATAAGGCTTTTATAATACCATCAATAAATGTAAGTATAACAATTAAATATTATTAATATTTTACTTATTAGGAGTCTAATGGTATAAAAATCAATGCTGATGATGGATTGAATCACAAAGAAGTGGATTTGGATAAAATATTTAAACCAGCTACTGAATCCGGGGAAGTTACTCCATCAAAGAACAGTTAGTTCATGTAATTTGCAATTATTATATTATAGTATTCAAACGATATATGTTGAAACGTAGGGAAAATGTATGCCAGTAGTAGTTTTTACGGTCCAGATCACCCAACGGTAGAACAACAATTTGAATTGGCTCGCCGTATATCCAGTTCATTAAGCGATATAAGTAACCAACAGAGTAAAGGGCAGTCCATGTTCGTTAACCGGAAAAAGAGATCGGTCAAATGGGTGCACGAAGGTGACATTGCATAATACATTATGCAACCTATAGTTTTAATTTTTTCGAAATAATATTCTCGATACTAATTTTGAATATTTTTCGGACTCGTATCACTAGGAGAAGGTAAAGGTCCGATTCCATCCAACTTCCCACTTGGATTCCAACAACAAAGTTATGAATCTACCGAACAAGTAATGCAAAACGTTCACCGGCTGAATTCAATTAACAGCGTGTACAATCATAATTATTAATTGTTGTGTATTCTAGAGTTCGGAGTCAAAGCAAAAACTGAAGCTAGTCATGGATCCAAGAGGTCAAGTGCAAGATTTGCAAACGTTACGTAAGCTTGGTGAGAACGTCGAGCTCTGCCTAAGTCCAGAAGTGTGTTTTGATTTGGTCAGAGATTTGAACGCCACCAAAGGAAAAGGTATTACCGAATTCAATTTTGTCACTATGCATTAATTAATCGGTTAATCTGTGTTAAAGGTGCTGCACTATTCGCTAAAAGGCGTAAGCGATCCGAAAACTGGATAGTAGATGAAAACAATGTGAAATCTATTTCACCTAGTCTCTCTGAACCGACCATTACGAAACAAAGTAGTCATAAAGTCCAAAATTACAAACAAGGTACTCAGAGAGCAGAAAACATTCAAAAAATGAACGAAATTCAAGTACGTAGGTTAGGTTGTGTGACGACAGGTTCCCGTAGACGTTCGATTGTTATTTCGGAAACACTTTAAGCGTAACATTTTTAAAAATGTAATTTATCCGATCGATTTTTAGCAAAGATTCACTCAACCTCGTGTAAGATTGATCAAATCTCCATGGGAGGCAGCATTGGAAACGGGATCGGTCGAGTCGGCGTTCCAAGACGTGGGTCCGGTGTTTCCACCGAGAGGTTACATCGTGGCTCCGACCCCTGGGGCCATAGAGGCGCTAAAAGAAGGAGGCGGCAGAACTTCTAGGGCAACCGCCTGCTCGACTCCGTCGAGAGACGTGACGCCCAGAAGCTGCCCAGACATATACACACCGAAGGCCCCCAGAGGTTGGAACACGCAGAGCAACAGGCAGCAGCCTCCGACTTACAGTACGTATACGGGGCGGCTGCGGCTGAAGGGTTAATTTAATCGCTGATTATATAGGGTCGGTAAAGTTGGATCAGATATTTCGCGGTGCCCCTCATTCGCCGGTGAGTCTGTTGAACAAAGCTTCGATATGCTCGACCGGTCTCACCCCCAAAGTGTCGGAGAACCTGTCGAGCACGACTTTCACGATAAACAAAGACAATTCGCTGACTCTGACCCCCGTCCCGATCCCTCCGGCGACCAACCGAGCTTACTACGACGAGCCTAGGTACCACAGGGTGGAGTTTACGCCCAGGTCGACGCCGGGGTTGGGAAACGGAAACGACACGCCGGGGCCGGATAGCGTGGCCGGTGAGGAGGGGACGCATAAGTGGCGCGAGCAGGGTGGGCAGCTAGGGGCGCGGCCGCGGATGGACGGACACGAGGTGGAGCACGTGGCGGACGGTGACGGGAAGGACCGAGACGGGCGAGAGACGGAACTCGTTACGGACGGGCGGGAGACGGAACACGTTACGGACGGTCGAGAGACAGAACACGTTACGGACGGGCACGAGGGCGGCCAGAAACGTGGCGGTGGTGGAGGCACGTCGGCCACGAACCGCGGCCACGGTTATCAGGTGTTCGTGCCCAAGGCGTGCAGGTCGTACGAGGAGTACATGCCACACATGGACGCGTACGTGGACCCGGAGCGCGCGGACAGTAGGTGTTCGCTAAAGTCGCCGAGCAGTTTCAGGAGCGCGGCGCAGAACGAACCAGAGCAGAAGGCGGTGATCCAGGAGAGGTCGCTGCCGGTGCGCGCTCTCATCGACTCGTTCGAGCACAACGGCCGGCCGGTGATGCGGTACCTGCAGCTAGACGAGAGCATACCACTCAGCGACGGCATACGGCACCTGCACGACGACCGGCCGCAGACGCCGGCCACGGCGGTGGATCCACGTGGCTTTTACACGGCTGACGCGGTGGTGGAGACCAGGAGCTTCGTGTACACGGCCGACGGTGGCCGCGCGGAACAGCTGGTCGAGCCGACGGCGGACGAGCCGACGGTGGACGAGCCGACGGCGGACGAGCCGGGACACTCGTACGCCGACGGTTCCGCGGCCACCGACCGGTCCGAGTACGGTGACACCGACGACGCGTCCGTTCCGCCGTTCGACGTGCGCACCGACCACAAGTTCCAGACCATCAGGCAGCTGGCCACGCCCGACAGCCTGGAGTCGAGCATGCTGTTCGCTCAGAAGCACACGCCTTGCGAGCGCTACGACGCCGCGTCCGCGTACTACGGTGCGCCGCCGCCGCCGCCGTCGTCGTCGCAGACCGAAGTCACAGGCAAGACGAACGCATGCCAACCGACCGCGATCCCTCGAGAGACATTTGGTATTCCCGTTTGGTCGTTCTCCACCGGCCCTTGCACTCAACACTCGTCCGCCGTCGCCCTGTTTGCCACCCTTGTGCTACCCGAGCGCGCGCGCACGCATAGTATTCGTACATCGACTGCATGGATGCGCGAACACTTTTTCGAAAATCTAACCACCGTTTGTGTTTTGATCTAACCAAACGTCGACGGCATGGGATTTTACGCGAACAACAAATACGAAAACGTCCGAAAATGGGCCTGACCCACCGGATCGTAAGATAAAAAGAAAAATAAATACGGAACAGTTCTATTATTATACGTGACTTAAGGAACAAGCATGTACTAATGCGTTTGGCATCCGTTGCCTAGTCCTGCGGACAATACGTGTGTTTATGGACGTTTAGTTTCTAATGGTTGTTATCTTAGACATTCCCGTTTGGAATTAAATAAATTGGCACTATCGTTCGGGTTTTTGTATCACTCATCCGTCAACAGAAGCTTAGCTTTACGAACAACGCGAATTCGATCCGAATGGGTTTTCCATAGAAACGCGTACGTCCAGGAAGCATTATCGTTTCTCGAAATCCGTTTTTATTTGTTAATTTTAAGCATGCGTTTTACGCGTGGAAAATGTATAAAACGTGATGGCTTGTACGACAGAACGAGCGTTTTTGATGCGCTGAAAAGGTATTTTTTGTGCAAATTGCGTACAACAATACGTTTGCAGATCATGACGGATGTTTATGCTAAACGTGTGATGAAACAATATGTTTGTGCGCCCGTTGACCGATCGGTGTTTAAAACAATAATCATTCGACTGTGTTTCGGATGTTTATTTTTTTTTTTTTTGTTTTTTTTTTCCGCATTCCAATTCGTCTAACATATAAATCGTTTATGTGTTAAAAAAAAAAAAAAAATCCCTCGATCGTGTTGTGACCAAGTTGTTTATATTTTGCAGCGGGACCTACATACAGCACGGCGACGGCTCCATCGTCGGATCCTGCGCGAACACCGTCGTACAAGGACTACTTGTCGCTGAGCAACTACAACACCGCGCCGCGGGGATGGAAGAAGGGCGAGACGGTCGTGTACAGGCCAGTGACGTTCAACAGCAGCAGGCCCGCGCCCAACCGCGGCCAGGACGTTTGTCGGAACAGCTTCACCGACTTTTGATCGGTGAACCATGACACCCGTGTCCGTTCCTGTATCGCGGAACATAGGACGATTGTCGCACACGATTTCAATTGTTCCGTCGACGGGTACGTCGGACTGGGATGTTTTACAAATATGAAATGTGTACTGAACATTATATATACCTATTATGATATTCAAAATGCTTTCAAGTTGTACACGCATTCGATTAAGTTTATATACATGATTGTTATCGATTTTTTTTTTTACTGTTATGCAGTGTTGATTTTTTGTTTACTTAAATCTAAAACGACGATTGTTCTGTCTTCAACAAAATATACATACATGTGAAAACTATCGATGTTAATTTAGAGCAACTCGAACGTGTTCGACACTATTGAGTGGTTAAGTTTTTGGTTTTTTGTAAAAAAAATAACAATAACAATATTTTATCGTTTAAGATAAGATTAAAATTAACGTCAAACTATGACGCGGTTTTCAATTGAGTTTTATAATATCAAAAATTAAAACAATTGAGATGATCAAATTTAATGTATTTTGCTTCGTTGTTAACACATTTTTCGTTTAGAAATACGTATGGAAACCAATAAGAGAACTTAAAATTACATTCGTTTAAAACACATGGGTCAATTTATTTACATGTCCTCTAAAAAGATACCTTAGTTTAAGTTCAGTATCTAATCCATCAAATATCGTTTTTTGTGTTAATATATAATTCGTGATTAAACGATGTCAGGCATTACATTTAATGGGTATTTGGAAATTATAATAGAAGTCAATAATAGTACCGTAATGTTAACTGCTGTAATAATATAAAAGTTTATGTCGGAATTTTTATTTATCTGTGTTGCTCGTAAACAAAATATTGTATTGGTTAAAATAAAATTTTAATTTATGAAATAATTAAAGTCGACTGTATAGTCAACAATTTGCATATTGGCATTCAGTCGTCGCACAGTTTTAACATATGAATAATATACTGCGTCATATTTTTTATTCAGATACATTGTAATTTTATCATAACACAAATATTTAAAAAAAAAATTGTTTTACTTTAAAATGATGTGTTTTAATTATTAAAAAGTTGACTCGATTGATTTATTTTGCATACATTGATAAAATATTTTTTAGAAATAATTTAATTTGTATTTATTATTTTGAACGTAGAAATAAATTTAAATTGAGTGGTATTTTTTTAAATAACGAAGAAAACACTTTTCGAATACAATGTTCCAAGTGAATTTTTAAATAAAATAATTTTTCATATTCCATAGTCATCAGAAAAATACTAGTAACTATCAAGAATATTTATCTTGACTAAATGTGTTTAAAATAATAATAAAACAATGAATATTAGTCTGGACATTTAAATTAATTTAAAAAATTGAAAAATTAAAATTTTTGTTACAAAGTTTTCAAGATAATGATTATATTTTTCATTTATAAATGCTAATTATTTAACTATTCGAAAATGTATTAGATTTAACTATTTGTTCTATGATTGATTTGTCTTGTATTAGATATTAAATGGTCAGAATAATGTATAGTTTAAGACTGATATTTGGAATTACCGTACTATGTACAAATTATTATTATCGTAGCACTATGAATGATATCCTAGGCTAAAAGAAACCTTGGATCGTCCTGATGGTATTACACTATCTTATCCGTATTGTAATTTGTTTTCATTTGTTCCTATTTATTTTATTAATTTAAATTTTTTTCTTTCTTCAAAATGTAATTATTTGGAATTACTTTATTGTCTTGAGATAAAAGCTTAAAAAATTTTTTACTCATACAATTTTTACTTTTTAACTTTACTTTTAGATTGTTAATTTTTAACGTTCGATATGTTAAAAAAAAAAAGAAAAATTTCAATCAATATTTTATTTTTATTTGTAATCGGGATTGAAAATCAGAGTAGTGCGAGATCTAACAGCTCTTTGAACTGAATCATTGTTTTCATATTGTTCGCTAGATGGCACACCTATATTTAATATTTTCTCGATTCTGTTTTAGGTTTAAAATTTAGCAGAAAAAATGATTTTTATTCAAATGTTTCAATAATATAGCTTATAGAAACTAAATTTATATTTTATATTTTAAATAATAATAATTTAATTTGCTTTATTCGTATTTTCTATATTCCCGACAGACCTAACTTGTAACTGGTTTCGAGTATCGGCATGATTATAGTATTTTTATTTTTATTTTTTCATTCCGATTTCAATATTTTCTAACTTTAGTTATAATCACCGTAGTTATATTTTTTATTTATTATATTATATTATTGTCTGTTTTGGTTTGGGTTAAATTATACGGTGCAACTCGTTTGCGCACAATTTAAATTTTTTACCTGAATATCGATGACTCGTTTGCGCACAACGAAATCAGTCGTTTACCTGTAAACGGACGACTCGTTTGCGCACAACATAATCACTAAATAACATGTATTTTATATTTTTAAATTTGGACTTACCTAAAGTAATTGAATTATCGGTACAAATTATCAGCACAAATTACCAGCATATCAATATCAATATATAATGATTTAAAATAATCGTCGTGTATTAGGAAAGCGTAATACTTTTAAACAGTCGTTTGCCAGAAAGCTGTACTATAACTACTAACTGTATTGACTATGGATATCGAAATTTGTGATGTTTTTGAAACGCGTCGAGGAAAAAAAAATGTTTAAACATAGAAAGTTATAAATTTAGAGAATTCCGAACTTTAAAATTTGGCGATAAACATTTTAGGTGTACAAATAAAAAATGTTCCGTAAGTGCTGTAGTTAGGTTAGTTAATGAATCATATAAAATTTTAAATATGACAAACACGCATACCCATGACGAGTACGACGACCGAACAATTCATCGAGAAGTAGTAAGAAGCAAATTGAAACGTAGAGCTGAAGAGGATTTACATATTACACCAAATAAACTAATACGCCGGGAATTGAAAAACAATGATAACTCCGAACATCTTCAATATAGCGATATTAAATTAATTCGAAGATCCATGTATGAAAAACCAAAAAAATCCTTTCCAAACATACCGAGATCTTTAGAAGATGCTAAAAAACAATTAGTTGATGATCAGCATAATCTTACTTACAAAGGTAATAAATTTTCTTTCGTTAGTAATGATGAAAATTTATTTATATTTACATGTAAACAAAATTTAGAATTGCTACAAAGTGCAGAACACGTTTTAGGGGATGGGACATTTTCATTCGCTCCGAAATATTTTGTTCAACTTTATACTGTTCATGTATTTAAAAACAATTTTTATGTTCCTGTGGCGTTTTGTTTTTTAAGTAACAAACATACTGATACCTACATCAATATGTGGAAAACATTACAAAATATATGTATTCAAATTACTGGTAATATAATAAATTTAATCAATTTTCATGTCAACTTTGAAAAATCTATGCATAATACAGTATTGCAAATTTTCCCTTACTGCAAAATTACGTGTTGTAACTTTCATTTAGGGCAAAATTGGTTTAGACATATTCAACAACATAAATTATTATCGAGTGAGTACTTAAACAACGACTCAGAAGTTGGCAAATGGATGAAATGTTTTTTTGGAATAAGTTATTTACCTCCTGACGAAGTTTCTGATGGATTTTGTGATCTTATGTCAATAGCACCAAGTACTACGTCTAGTAATATTTCTATATTTTTCGATTATATTTTAGAAAATTACATTGTATCGGACAGCAATTTTCCTCCAACATTATGGGCTTGTAAACCTACTAATAATCCTAAGACTACTAATGGTGCAGAGAGTTATCACAAACAATATAACAGTCAGTTTTACATTGCTCATCCGCACATATATCAAGTAATCGACGTCATTATTGAAATTCAAAGTGACACTGATTTAAAAATTAATTCGATAAACAATAAAATCATAAATTTCAAAAGAAAAGAGATAATTAATAAGGAGATACAATTGGAAAACATTTGGAATGAATATAAAAATAATATTATTAGTCGTTTAACTTATATAAAGAAAATTGGACTTAAATGCCACCATTCTAAATTAGTACAATTTTATAATAGACTACTATTATTATTTATTAAACCTACAATGCATATTTTTTAAAATATTTTAATTTTTGTAATATTAAATTAATAATTGACAATATTGTTTACGCGTATTATTGACGTTATTATTACTTTTATCTGTATTATATTGTTGTATATATATCTTATTCTCGCCGATATCTGGTCGCTCGATGTTAAATTATATAACAAATACTTAGAAATGCAAAATAGTTAAATCTTAATTTATATATATTTTTTTTTTATATATATACAATATGCACATATATTATTATTTTATACAGTCTATTAATTAATTAAAATTAAGCAAAAGAAAGGAAATATGCTCAAACGAGTTGTACCTTTATTATTTAAACCTAAAATATGTGTGCGCAAACGAGTTGTGATTTTGTGCGCAATCGTGTCGTAAAAAAGGTAAATGTGCGTAAACGAGTCGCACCCTAAATTATATGACTACGATAATACTATGATTGTAATAAGACTCGAGCGCAAATTTTAATTTATATAATCAATCTGCTTATATTTAACGAAAATTTCAAGATTTTTTCAATCCTATTAATGTTTCCACTACCCTTACAATGAGTTTTTCAGAAATTAAATACCTATAGAAATTAAAAATTTGAAAACTTAATTATTATTTTTTTTTCTTTTAGCTAACAATTTCAAAGTTATTATAGCTTAACAATTATTAGATCACAATATAAAACATAATAATCAAACATACAGTAGAGGAAAGAATAATATATGTGCGATTTTAGAGTATAAATAAATAAACATAAAAATTAAAAACCAATTTAATATAGAATCATATAATGATTATACAATTTGTAGATTTTGCATTAATTGCACTAATTGTACTAAGCTCACTGTTATTATAATTTTAAGAGATATATTATGCGGTTGAATGCAAACATATGTATACAACATGAACGTGATAGCAGAAATGTTATACATTTAGTGGTTAATTGGTCGATGATACAGCATGTGTATAGTATTTAAAATACTAAAATAAAATAATCAAATAATCAAAATTGAATTACTTTTTAAATTAAAGTTGTACATTTCTTGTCTATAAAAATGTAAATTTTTAAAATTAATGAAACTATTTTATATTGAAATCATTGGTTATTAAAAAATATATTTTCTTATTGAGTTAATATAAAAATTATATAGTTACTATAAAATATTGAAGTTTCAACAACTCTTAATCGTTCAACTTACACGGTAATATAAAATATACCTTAAGAATGATATAGGATAAGATTTTAATTCTTGTTTACTGTATGAAGTACATTGGTCACCGATATTAATTAATATACATTTTATTACGGAAAACGTTTATACATGAGTACACACAAATGTTTAAAAATAACTAAAATGTATAAAACACAATTGAGTTAAAACCTAGACTGCACATTTTTGTTATTAAATGAAGTTATTTGTTGAAACTGGGGAGTTTCAGAATATCATAATACTTACATTTACATGTTTATCTTTAAGGATATTTTGGTAAAGGAAACTTTACAGTTGGTTAGAAGGCATTTTTAAGGTATTGATTTATTCGAAATTACGTATCAGACCTAAAACGTAGTTCAAATGACACTTAGTCGATCTCATTTTTCAGATTTTTTCGACATATCCTATGAATATGTAATTATATAAAAATATCAAGTTCAAAAAACGGAAGGGCAAACAAGGTTTGATCTAAAAATGATTCACTAACATTGGTCTCCTCGTACACCTCACTCATGCCTAGATAAAGGATAAAGATTAATGTTTTTTGTTAATCATATTAAGGTAACGTGTTACGGTAACTGCGACTGTTGGTCGTTAATTTTGTTGGTCATTGTTCTGTTGGTTGAGCCTCGACATAGGGAACGCGTCGGGAAGTGGTGGTCCCACGTCGTTGGGTTTCCCACCGTACTTGATCCATACGGATTTTGGGTACGTATCTAAGCACTCGGGCTCTATATTCAAGCGACAACCATGGGGGCACGTTCTGTGATCCTTTAAGGTACGGTACTTGGTCCGCTCCTGTGGTCCGACATCATGTTCCGCTTGCCAATTTCTAGGGATTGCATCACTGTCAAATTGGGCACGCTAACGATACGCTTATCATTCCGGCGATACGCCAGTAGAACCAAGCCACCAGTCAGACAAACGCGGCATGGTCATTGGAGGAATCGTCGAGGATGGTGATGTTACAGGTCATCACCTGACGGCATACTCATTTCGTCCTTTGAAGGCATCTCCATATGATTGTTTTATAGTGTAGATCAAAGAACAACAAAGAAAAAATGTGCATTTTACCGTGAGAGTCCGTGGGAGGGGGATTGTCCCTCCTACGCTATACCCGAAAAGGATCATTTAATGTGGCTTAACGATGGCAATCTGCCACTTGAAGTGTTACCTTACGGTGTTTCCCAGTGGTGGGCTTATAATCGATTCAATAAGAAAAAGAATCTGATGAATTTCATTGTACGTTATATATTTGTGGTAGTTGTTGTGAATTCATGTTAATATACTTGGTTATTAATTACAAACAATTTAATGAACATATTAATCTAATTTAATCAGATTTTTTTTTTGTGTACATTTTTTTTTTTTTTTTACGTATATTGATACATGTATTGTTGTTGAGTTTATTGATAAGTTTAACAAACAAGTTCAAAATAGAACTGAGTGTACGTACACGTTTTAAATAAACGGCCAGTGTCGGTGTAATGTTTATATAATGTTTTATTCATTAAAAATAAAAAATAAATAAAAAGATAACGCAGTGGAACAATACTTTATTTGACAGAAATACGCAAATTTATCGATCCTTAGGACCGTTGATCGGTATGTCACACGGTATCCGACAAAAATAGAGCTTTTCACGCACAATCGGCATCCCGCCAGTCTCGCAGTCCATTACGGCACTCCTGGTCGATCGAATCGGTCTGTTCTTGCTCCGCTCTAACCCTTGGTAATATACTCGTAAGTCTGCATAATACGCTGTAACGATCGTACATTGTACTGACGTTCACTATGAACCGTGTCAAAGAAATAAAAATTATTTACCACACCCATGAAATTTATTTTGTGAAATGATCCTGAAAACATTTTAATTTTAATTTTTTCGTTATCCCAAAAAAATTGTTATGATGGTTATTATTGTAATATTCTATCACAGATATATTCTTGATAATTCGAATACAAAATTATTAATAAAATACTTAAAAAGTATTCCCTAAGTATACTTACTTAATAACATGAATTATGCAGGAAGAATATATAATTTAAATATACTGTAATAAAAACGTATATTTTCATTAATATTCATCATTTTGATGATATAATTAAATTTATATAATATTTATTCCATAATTATTAAAAAAAAATAAGGGTCTTATCTTTAAACAATGGCCTGAATTGTTTGTATATAATTAATTAAGATAAAACTTTGATACCTATATTCTTATACAGAATTTTTCTGATGAATAATAATTATTTTTGACAGTTCTTGAATATAAATTAAACTTTTCTTTTTTTTTTATTTGTTAAAAATATACTTTTATACATATTTTTTTTGATTTTTATGTGTATAAAATTGAATGTTGTTGAATATTTAATTATAATGATAAATCTATAAATAGTACATCACTTTCAGAAAAACACCAAAAATCAATTGATAAATATTCACAATATTCACACTACTTATTTCGAACGCCTTGTATGAAATTTAAAACAATCTTATCAGCCACTCTAATAGTTTATTAATTTTTTGACACATTTTAATAATTATATTGTACAATAATTGTAACTGTACAATAAAGTGTAAACAGAAAAAATAAAATTATTGTATCTTTTCTGTTCACACTTTTTAAGATAGAAATAAAAAAAATCTCAAATAATAATATTTATATCTATAAATTATGTATAAAAACTGATATGCGTTCTATAGAAATAAAAAAAAAATGATTTTTTATTAATTTATTTTACATCAATAAAAAATAATCACTGTAAAATTTTAAACTCAAATGATGAATTAGATATTTTTATAGCACAAAAGTGTTCCCAGAAATGATGTCACAAAAATAAATGTCGTCATTTAAAACGCATATTTAATTTTACTTATGGGAGAACAAAAGGAAAATCGGTCTTAGAATTGCATTTTAAAAATTTCGCTGGAAAGTACCTACTGAAGGATTGTTAGAAATTACGTATCGACCCTGCGATGAGTATGAATATTTAGGCAATATGCATATTTAATAAAACAAAATTTTTACTAGTAAAATCGATGGATATATGAGAACCGAATTAATTTTGAACTTTTTAATTATTTTATTCGTAGTAAAGGAGTACAAGTTAGTCTAATAACGATACCATGTAAGAATAGAATGCAATTAAAAATAATAATTTCGATTATTTGAGCAGTTCGCTTATTTTTTGCAACTAACTAAATTATTGGTGATTATAATAGTTCAAATAGGTAATATTGAATTTATTCTAAACAGTATACCATTCATGTATGGGTCGTACCAATATTCAGCGAATAATTATTAATATTACAATTTAATATGCATGTAACCCGTTGCTAAATTACAATTAGTACATGTATTGTTATTATGCATAGGGTAAAATGATCAATCCGTTTTCATTATATTATACTTGTTTATAAATTATACATTTAGGTATCTGTCAAACATATGTTTATAATAAAATAAAATAATTTTATCATATTTTTTTGTGTTACTGGGATCAGTGCCAACAATTAAAGAGCAATGTCTTGAGATATACCTATGTATTGTATTTTAGTATATTTTATGTCCTTAATTAGATTTATTGCTAA